TCCAAACCCAGCTTTAGGTATATCTACTTGAAGCCCTAATTTTTCTTTGAAGGATGTTTCAATATTTTTCTTTGCTTCTTTGACAATTTCTTTTTCTTCGTCTTATCGAGATTGCCACTTTTGTAAAGTTATTTTATAAGCTAAATGAAGAACCAATTCTAAGAAGCAGATCCTTGCATGAAAAATGGAGAGTCCAAATGAGATGGCTTCTGAATTGATTTGCTCTTTTTTAACAAGTTTGTTAAAATCTTTTGATGTTTTTCCACCAATGTAGCTCCTCATAGTAGAAGTAGTATCAGTTGCAGCGTTGCAAACTTTACCATCTACCATAAAAAGCAAGGTGTGCTTTATTTTTCCAATTTGATTGGGCAAACTTGTTTCCCTAAGATTCATTATTTGGTTTTTTACATGTTCTACTTCGTTCATTGTTATTTCTTATGATTCACTAATGAAGCGTATTCGAATGGGCCTGCAGAATTTTGGAGAAGAGGTGACTGGGTTTTGCCATATAATTTTTTCCTGTTCACAATCAATTTTAACAACCAATCTCAGAGGTACTAAAGAGCTTTGAAAAATATTTGCATCACTGTCGGTATTGTTTTGAAATATTTGCTTAAATTTTGCTTGTTGTGATCCATCACAGCCCCATTTTTATAATAAAACCATATTCACCTGTTCTCCTTCTGAACACTTTTCTACAACCTCTGCGACATATTTATATAAGCAATGTGGTGTGGTCAAGTAATGCTTGTAATTGAATTTCAGCTGAAGTTTCGGTTAGTTGTACCAGTTCCTTATCTGGGTAACATTCTTTTTTGGCTTGTTGAATTACTGAGTAGCAGGGGTAGACATTTTTATTTCTACTTTGAATAAGTTCCCACTATTTTCTGGTAAAATTGCCTTCTACAAACAGCTCCAGTGCCTCTTGAGGTGTTAATTTATTGACAGTTACTCTTTTTGAAGCAGAGTTAAATACTTTACAGTATTTCTTGGCTCTGGTAGGTGCGGCAGTAATTTCTTCAATAAATTTTGCTACATCAGTATATCCTGAAGTGCGCTGGCTCACTATAGCTGCATACGTCAACTCATCAACAGATACCTGCTTGCGCAAATCCATAGTTTTTCGACGCTTAAAGCAATCACTAAGCTCTATAAATGATTTTGATGGTCGTCCAGATCTCTGTCGAACGTTTATTGACCAATAAGGTAATTCGATGTTTGATTTGAGCCATTGTTTGTTGTTTTTTATAAAAATTTCATGCTTATAACTTGCAGCTATCCATCTTTACTTAAAATTGCTTTTAAAGAATTTTAAATTTTTTGATATGGCACTCTCTTTATCTCTTGGGTATTTCATAACTTTTATAAGTTCTTCTTCCAACAACGAAAACTTTTCTTCAAATTTTTTACCTTCATTATTTCATATAACTCCCTTCGAGTGAACAGCTTTTTTACTTCAGACGAATCTACAAGATAAATAATAAAACAATCAATACAAAGCTGGGTCACAGCGTTCGTAACGATCGACAAATAAAACATATATACTTGTTTGATATTTTATAGTTTAATAGTTTAATATATTATTTATTTATAATGTGTTTACGTAGTTCAGTTAAGTTTGTATAAAACATTTTAAAAATCGGACCTCAACAATTTATTTTTTAGCTGCTTTAGTACTTTTTACGAGATTGTGTATATTAAGTAATTTTTTACACACTATTCTCAAAGCGTTACAACAAAAGGTGGCGGACGTTTGCGGATAATTTTACAAATGTATCTGATTGTTAACAACTAGTATTTATTGCTCGTAAAAGAATTTTAACTCGACAAGAGCATACTTGTCAACAAAAGCATTATTGTCTTATAATTTTATGTCAAAATTAAAACTCAAAGGCCATCGTTATAGCTCTCTATATTATGCACAATAACAACAGAAATTTAAAATGATTTTATTTTAAAATATACTACATACCTTCCTCCTCCATAATTAGAAGTTAAATTTTTAAAAACTGAACAATATGAGAAGAATAACAAATGTCATAAATTTGAATAACAAATGTCATAAATTTTCAATTTAAAAAAAAAAAAAAAGTTAAAACAACAACGCCACGTTCTGAATGAAAATGTGACAAAAGGAAAAAGCGAGGAGAATTTTTTATAATGTAATCTTATGAAGCAATTATCTAGCTTGAAAATTATAAGGTTAATAGGATTTTTATGCAAACTTTTTTTTTTGACTTTTGAGCGATTTTTTTATACAAATACTCCACTGTGCGTGGGTTTGAAACTATGAAAAAGTGTGGCCACGCCTTGTGGCTGCACAGTTTGCACTAAACTTTGGTTCATGGTCGGAAACGTTGTTTTAAGCTCGGAAACCATAAAATCGGTTTGTGATTGTGATAAAAAAAAGTTAATATTGCATTATAATATTTAATATCGCAAAAACTATTTGAAAAAAAAAATTTAAAATAAAGAACAGGTTTACTATTTATTCTCCTGC